AAAAAAAATTCCGCAGTATATAAATATCTAAATATATATTGAATAAAATAATAAAATTAGCGATAGTATAATGTATTCGTGATAGTGATTATAGTATTATAATTTAAGAGATTTTTATAAATACCTTAGGATGATTTCAAAAATATTTGAAGAAATATTTTGAAAATGAAACATATAAAAATCACCAGCCTTTTCAGTATTATCATTAGAAAAGGCGGATTCAAAATAAGGAGAACGTGCAATCAAAATAGTTGAATGCGCAAAAAATTCTTTCAAGTTCTTTTCTTCATCAGCATAAATTATAACATCAGAATTATATTCCTTTAGAAATATCTTTTTATTAATGCGAACAAGTTCTTTATAAGAATGGGAAGTCATCTTTTTTATTCTATCAAAGTGTGAACAAGTTATTAATTATTGATCATTATTGACAGTATGTCATTATATACGTACGTACGTACGTACTTACGTATCGTGGCAGAGTGAATAACTAAATATATAATTATGCAGTCGGTAATCTAGCTAAAACCGATTCTGAAACAATAACACGTGATAATGAAACTCTATTTTTAGTGTGCTACGGTTCATTTTGCCAAACTGCGAAAAATAATAATGATAACCATAATATTTATTATACTGTATACGTATACTGTTTAGATCTCATGATCCATCGAACGAATGATATAAAAAAATTCTGATTTCTTGTTGACAAACAGAGTTGTAAATGGTAATTACTACTGATAACTTGATCGATAAATTACTATAAATTACCGAATTATTTTGGATTTAAATTAATTTTGGTCGGCATTATGTGTTATAATCTCATTGTATTTGGTACTTGGTTACGGCAAAATCCTAAACTAGTTTGGATTTGACACATCGCGAAACTACCAGGTCTGGTTGCATCACTTAAATTTAGAAATTGTAATTTTTAGCGTTGCCAACAAATTACGTAATATTAATCATCACAAGGAAACAACTACCAGTACATGTATTTTTTTTT